CAGATGTTTTCATCTTCCTAAACTCATTTACTTCTCTTTAAAATTTCCATAACAGTTGACATTTTAGAATTACTGTCATAGTAAATTTTACTATGTAAAATATTGTACAGTACAGGCCAAACAATACAAGGTTTGGCCTGAGGTGGCTATATTCTCAGGCAACATAAAACCTTAATTGTGAGCTTACTTTACTTGGACAGAAGGGCAATATCACTAGTTATTTATTGTCAACAGATTGTTAAATAGAACATAGACAAAAACATTTAGGATTGTTCAATGATTATTTCCGTTTTGTGCTCATAGGAATTCTTAATTTTCAATCTCATAATCAGAACCACCAGTGTTAACTAACATCTCTGCTTCATTTTGCATTCTCAGCACTGTCCTGCTTCCTGATATTTTAAAGATGTGGCAGAAATGAAAACATTTAAGAATTTTTTTTGCCAGGCACAGTGGCTCATGCCTGTAATCCCAGTATTTTGGGAGGCTGAAGTGAAGGATCACTTGAGGCTAGGAGTTCAAGACCAGTCTGAGCAAAAGCAAGATCCCATCTCTACAAAAACAGAAGAAAATTAGCCCGGCATGGTGGCACACACCTGTAGTCCCAGCTACTCAGGAGGCTGAGGTAGGAGGATCACTTGAACCTAGGAGTTCAAGGCTGCAGTGAGCTATGATGAGACCACTGCACTGCAGCCTGGGCGACAGAGTGAGACCCTGTCTCAAAAAAAAAAAAAGAAAAGAAAAGAAAAGAAAATTTTCAGTAGAAACCTGGACATCTCTGCTATTATTTTTACTTTCCTTTTGTCCCATGACAATGCATGTAAATTACTTCATTATGAAATGTCCTCCTTTATCAATTCTGATAATACTTTGTCAAGCCTTATTATGATTAATGCTAGCCTGGTATATCTTTTTCTAACCTTCAATTTTTAATTTATCTAAAAAACGTATTTCTTGTATACAGTATATGTTGTGGTCTTGTGTTAATCCAGACTATCTTTTAATTGGAGTGTTTAGTTCATTTATATTTAATGTAATTATTGACATGACTAGATTTAAATCTATCATGTTGCCATTTTCTTTCTATTTGTCCTGTTCTTTGTTTCTTTTAGAATTCTTTCCTACCTTCTTTTGGATTAATTGGGTTTTTTTCCCTTCTATTTTATCTCTTATTAACTATACTTCTCTGTCTCTTTTTCTCTCTGGTAATTGCTCTAGGGTTTACAATGTGCATATTAACAGCATCTGTATATTTGCATTGATTATTACAATGACAATATATTATTTTATGATTTTAAAACAATTAAAATAAATGCTTTAAATAATGTGTTGTCACTGTTTTGTGAAATAGAGTAAAAAATCCTGTTTTTTCCCCATATTGGTAACTCACTGGCACCTAGGAGCCTCTTTCATTTTAAGCCATCATGGGAACTAAGCCACCAGAACTCTACTTTCCAATGTAGATGTTATATTCATGTTTTTTTAAATATATACATTTAAATGAGACTGCATAAAACAAGAAACTCCTTGAATTTTCAGAAATAAAGAAATCAATGAACAGCTGTGCTCATTGTTCCCAGAATTGCTTTGCTTTGAATCTAGAATCTAAAAGCCCAATATTTCATCCCAATAATCACTTAAAAGATTTTAAAAGTTCCTAAGTATGCAAAGTACCATAGTGGCAAACTGAGTTAAAGACAAACTACAGAATGAGTCATTTCATATAAGTTAGAATATAACTTTTATAGGTTATTGGAATAAATTTTTTTTTTTTTGAGAGTCTTGTTTTGTCACCCCGGGGAGTAAAGTGCCATGGCGTCACCCTAGCTCACAGCAACCTCGAACTCCTGGGCTCAAGTGATCCTCCTGCCTCAGCCTCCTTGAGTAGCTGGTATTACAGGCACGCATCACCATACCTGGCTAATTTTTCTGTTTTCAGTGAGACGGGGTCTCGCTTTTGCTCAGGTTGGTCTCAAACTCCTGAGCTCAAGCAGTCCTCCCACCTCGGCCTCCCGGAGTGCTAGGACTACAACCATGAGCCCCTGCGCCAGGCCCACATGTACTTCTAAAAATGGAGTAAAATTTCATGAAAACCATGAGCATTTTATTTGAAAGTATACGTTGAGTACCATATCCCTACATTTTTGAGAAACCTAAAGCCAATTATGTAAAAAATATTTTTGACCTGACACTGAAAAAAATGAAATCATTATAGAAGACTTATAAACTATCCCTGTAAGAATATTAATATTTCACCAGAAGATAAATATTAAATTTTCCTTAACTTTTACTAGAATTCAATCTTTGGTAAATTTTAATACTAAATTATGCCATGTTAGCATAAAATTATTGAAAATTGTTCAAATTACTGCTATGTTTTGAAATATTATAGTTCAATTATGTTAAGTGAAATAAGCCAAGCACAGAAAGACAAATCTCACATGTTCTCACTCATATTTGGGAGCTAGATATTAAAAACAATTGATCTCATGGAGACAGAGAGTAGAATGACAAACTACCAGAGGCTGGGAAGGATACCGGGGAGAAGGGGATACAGTGGGGATGGTTATGGGTGCAAAAATATAGTTAGATAGAATGAAAAATATTTGATAGCACAACAAACTATTAGGTTATTAAGTATGGATTGTCCAATTTCCTTAAGTATTAAGTCTGACA